TTCCTAAATGGAAGTAGCCACATCCCTAGTTGATATTGGTGGCAGCATCAAACCTGTTGTTACATTGATGTTAGGCTTCCACACCCTAGCTGGTGTAGAAGATGGAAGCTGCCTCAACTAAAGATGGTGGTGGCAACAGTGGCAGTAACCCAAGATGGTAGCAGAGGTTTACCAAGATGAAAATGACTGCTTTCAGAGATGGGGCTGAGAGGGCTGTACAGTGCCGTTAGGCAGCCTATTTGGAGGTACAGCATTATGACATACAGGGCTGTGGCAGGCAGCTTCTTCCTGGCCTATCCATTGTCCTTAGGTGGAGGCTAACATAAGCTATGGAAATGACTGCTGTGTCTCAAGATACGAGTGGGCCAGGGGAGCCATGAGTTGGTAGATGGGGAAGACACAGCACAGTTGTTTTCCTCTGCTGCATGTGTGTGATTATCTTCTTTCTACTCCATGTAGTGAGTTCAGGTCATGGTCTGCTCCTTCTTCTCCATGCAACAGGCTGGGGTCATGGTGTGCTCCTCCTGCTACCAAGGCATATTATTATAAAAATGCCTAACATATAGAATAAGTATAGAATTTTAAAGACAGCCAAAAGAGGAAGGGACTGGTCACATTTACAGAAAAAATAATATGGATCTCAGCTGATTTCTCAACCCTCACACTCAAAGCTAGGAGATCTTGGAATAATATATTCCAAGCTCTGAAAGAAAATGGGTGCTTACCAAGAATATAATACACAGCAAAATGAGCTTCTATAGTTGATGATGCAATAAAAAAATTCCATGATAAAAAAGTTAAAAGAATTCATAACCAAAATCTGCACTAGAAAACTCAATAAAACATTTCATGGAGAAAAAATTAAAAATAAAATTGAAAACCAACAAAGGATGAACTAAACTAGAAGAATAGTCAACCAAAGAATAAACTAATTCAAATTAAAAGAAAGAAATAACTCAAAATGACATGGAATAAAAATCATCTCTCATTAATAACATTGAATGTAAATGGCTTAAACTCATTAATCAAAACACATAGACTGGCAGATTGGATTTAAAAACAAGACCCCAAATACATTCATCTCATAGGCAAAGACATTCACAGACTGAAGGTAATAAGATGGGGAAAAATATATCATTCACTTGGATCTCATAAACAAGCAGGAGCTTCTATCATCACATTAGATAAAGTGGACTTAAGTCAATCAGAGGGACAAAGAAGGTCATTTTATACTGCTTAATGGAAATATACATCAACAAGATATAACAATCTTAAATATTTATGCCCCAAACAATGGCAGCTACATACATCAAACAAATATTTCACAATAACTCAAGGCAATAATACTGAGTGCATTTACATGCCTCTCTCACTACTCCATACATCCTCCATACAAAAATTAAATGAAGAAACTATAGAACTAAATAATATAATAAAAATTTTAGATATAACAGACATATATAGAATATTTCATCTATCAGTAACCGAATACACTTTCTTCTCAGCAGCACATGGATCCATTCCTAAAATAGACTCTATCATAGGCCACAAAGCAATTCTTAGTAAATAAAAAAATAGAGATTATATCTTGCATTCTATCACACCATAATGGAACAAAATTAGAAATCAAGGATAAATTAAAAAATAGAAGCTACTCTAACACCTGGAGACTAAATAATATGATATTGAATGACTAATGAATAGGTGAAGATATCAGGGATAAAATAAGAAAATACTTAGAAGTACATGAGACTCAATACAACATATCAAAAGCTTTGGGACACTATCAGGCAGTTCTAAGAGGAAAGTATACTGCATTTAGCTCATTTATTAAAGAATAGAAAGCCACCAAATAAATAACCTAAAATTATATTCCAAACCTCTAGAAAGAGAAGAACAGATCAACACCAAAAGCAGCAGAAGATCAGAAATAATTTAAATCAAAGCAAAAATATGTAATGGAAACAAAAAAATGTTCGAAAAATGAACAATACAAACAATTATTTCTTTAAACAAATTTAAAAAATGATAAACTCTTAGATAATCTGAACAAGAGAAAGAGAAGGAAAATTTAAATTACAAAAATGTGTGATGAAAAGAGAAATATTACAACAGACACTACTGAAAAATAGACCATAATCAGAAATTATTTTGAAAATATATATCCAATAAAAGCAGACAATCTTGAAGACATCAACAAATTTCTAGAGACATACGATCTACCCAAATTAAATCAGTAGAACATAGAAAATATAAACAGATCAATTTAAGCAATGAAATTGAAGATGCCATCAAAAGACTACCAACAAAGAAAAGCTTCAGATCAGATGGATTCTCAGTCAAATTCTATGAGCCCTTCAAAGAAGAACTTACAGCAATACTCCTCAAATTATTCCATGAAATATAAAAGGCAGGAACCCTTCCAAATTCATTCTAGGAGGCCAGTGTCAACCTGATACCAAAAACAGTAAAAGATATTTCAAGGAAAGAAAACTTCAGACCAATATTCCAGATGAACATAGACACATTTTTTTTAAATAAAATACAGGCAAATCACATAGAAAAATATATTAACAAGATAGTGCACCACAATCAAGTGGGATTCATTTCATGGATGCAGGGATGGTTTGACATATAGAAATCAATATATGTAAATCACCAATTCAATACAATTAAGGTCAAGAATCACATGATTATTCAACAGTTACAGAAAAGGCATTTGACAAAATACAGCATCCATCCATGCTGAAAACACTAGAAAAACTAGGGATAGTAGTAACATACTTGAACATTAAAAAAGCTATAGATGCTAAGCCCAAGGCCAACATCATTCTAAATGGGCAAAAATTGAAAGCATTTCCTCTAAAAACTGGAACAAGACAGCAGAATACATCAGACACTAGAAAAGCAATATGTCAATCAATGGAAGGGTAACTGATGTGATACGGCAATCTGTATACGGGGTAAAGTTGGGAGTTCATAACCCACTTGAATCAAACTGTGAAAGATGATGTATTAAGAACTGTGTAATGTTTTGAACGACCAACAATAAAAAAAAAACTGGAACAAGACAAAGATGTGCTCTCTCACTACTTCTATTCAACATCATCCTTGAAACTCTAGCTATAGCAGATAGACACTAAAGGGATACAAAGAGGAAGAGTTCAAACTATGCCTGTTTGCTGATGAAATTATTCCATTCTTGGAAGACCCCAAAAGCTCCACCAGAAATTTACCTGAGCTCAACACAAATCCAGCAAAGAAACATGATATAAAATTAACCCCAATAAGTCAATTGTGCTCCTATTCAACAATGATGAATGAGCTTAAAGTATCTGATTCCCAATAACCTCAAAAAACAAACAAAAAACCCAAATCAAAAACAAACAAACAAACAAAAAACAACTTGGGAATCAATCTAACAAAAAGGGTAAAAAGACCTCTACAATTAAAACTACTAAACACTAAAGAAAGAAATTGAAGAACACCTTAGAAGATGAAAATATCTCCCAAGTTCTTGGACAGGCAGAATTAATATTGTCAAAATGGCCATACTATCAAAAGTATGAAGCAGATTTAACGCAATTCCTATTGAAATTCCAATGATGTTCTTCTTAGAAATAAAAAAAAAAAAAGCAGACATAAAATTTATTTGGAAAAACAAAAGGCCCAAAAGAGTCAAAACAACCTTTTTCAAGGAACGAGAAGCTGGAGGCATTCAAAGACCAGTCCTTAAATCATACTACAGAACCATAGTATCAAAAACGGCATGTCATTGGCACAAAAACAGACAGGAAGACCAATGGTACAAAATAGAAGACACTTCGACAAACCTACATAAATACAGTTATCTTATACTAGACAAAGTTGTCAAAAATGTACATTAGAGAAAAGATAGCCTCTTCAACAAATGGTGCAGGGAAAAACTGGAAATCCATATATAGTAGAATGAAATTTAACCCTTATTGCCATTCTGGCACAAAAATCAATACACCAGAGATCCTGCACCTAACTAGAGAAAAAGTAGGCCTGACTCTCTATAATGTCAGCTTAGGAACCAACTTCCTCAATAAGACACCTAAAATGCAAGTAGTAAAATCAAGACTCAATAAATGGGATGGTATCAAACTAAAAAGCTTCTTTAGAGCAAAACAAACAACCTAGAATGTGAACAGAGATTCCACAGAATGGGAGAAAATCTTTACCACATGCACCTCAAATAGAGCATTAATTTCCAGGATATAGAAAGAACTCAAAACACTTAACATAAAAAAAACCCCACAAATAACCCAATCAATAAATGGTCAAAAGAACTTAACAGGCACTTCACAGAAAATGGTCAACAAATATATGAAAAAAAAATGTGCAACATCTCTAGGAATTAGAGAAATACAAACTAAATCTACACTGAGATTGCGTTCCACTCCAGTCAGAATGGCAAGTTTCAAGCATATATGTAACAATAAGTGTTGTTGAGGTTATGGGGAGGAAGGTACACTCACACATTGCTAGTGGGACTGCAAATTGGTTCAAACACTCTGGAAGGCAATCTGGAGATTTCTCAGAAAACTTAGAACGGAACAACCACTTGACCCAGTTATCCGACTCCTCAGCATGTACACAAATGACTAAAAATCAGCATACTACAATCCACCATGCGGCCAGCGCAATGGTTTCATTAATGAGGTTCTTGGCATAAAGTTAGCTAGATGAGATCGAAATAAAACACACAGACTCAGTTACCTTATTTCTATTGCCAGGTCCGAGATGGCTCCCCTCTCTGGTTCCCTCCTCTAACCGCCCAGCAGGGCAGCAAGGATTACTCAGGGCTAGCAGGAGAGAGAGAGTTTGAACACGCCTGGGAGTAGCCTTTTATTGGGGAACAAGAGATTCAGGGGAGAACTCCATCCAATGAAGGTTGAGGGGGGACTGCACTCCAAGGTCAGGGTCAGTGATTGGGCCCCCGGGGTCAGTGGTCAGGCACACCCCGATACGGATGGGCTCTCTCATCAGGAAAGGGCCGGGAAAGCTCCGACACAGCCAGAGCGCCTCAGACCCTTAACGGGAGCCATCCAATCACGTGTCAGAAATGGCTTCCCACATATTCCCCTTTCCTTTTCTTAACAATGAGGCAGCGGTTCACTCTCTGGAGTTTCTGGATTCTTGATTGGAAGACTCGCCATCCTATGGTTACAACACAAAAGAGAATTAACAGCAAAGAGAATAATCCAAAAATGTACCAAGCAGAGTGTTTAAGAATATTTCCTGGGTTGAATCCATTTAACTCCTTTAATATTTGGTTAACCAAAGAATAAGGATCTGAAAAATCAGCTCTATTATTTTGAATGTCTTGGATATGGTGATAAAGTTCCAGAATATCCAAGCTATTATTACTATTTTGCCAAATACCTAATAAATGGTTTTTAACCTTCTCCCAATCCCAGAGAAAAGCATTGTACTTGGCAGCTGTAACACATACATACTTATAATTAGCATGGCATTTAAGCCTTTCTTTAAATTTTAAGGCTGAAAGTTCATTACCTATGTCTATAACAGTCGCCTCTAAGGCATTTAATTTAGTTTTAATCCTATCATCAATATTTACTTGATTATGCAGAGCCTTGGAAGTATTTTGAGCTAAATTATTAAGAAATTCTGCATGCTGAATATTCTGAGACAATGTCAGAGACGCAGAGACAGTTGAGGCAATAAACGAGACCAGCGCTAAAACACCAACAATTATGACTCCAATAGCACGTTTAGGTCTTGTTAGCTGGGCATGAATTTGCTGCAAGACTTGTAAACCAGCATCAGCATACCATGGCTCTGAAATATTAGCAGGTAATAAAACGAGAGGGCTGATGAAGTATCAGCACTCCTTTTCCTCCATTATACCTAGTAATACAATTGGTTAGGTTGCACTTATTACAAGTAACAATATACCTGTCATCTATCCATTTAACTTTTACATTTCCAATAATTAAAACATAAGGAGATTGGACACAAGCTCATAAGCCATAGCAAGATCCCTCTTTACAGTTCTTGCCGACAAATTTTGGTAAAGGTTTATCTGTAAAATGTAAAAATTCTGAGGCAGCAATTAAACGCCAAATATCTTTTTGAACACCTCCTTTACTATAAGTCAAAATATTACTAACAAATCCTGCAGGTGTCATAGCAGAATTTCTTCGTAATTGTCTCTTACCAATTTTTGGAAACCAGTCTAAAATATACCCACTATCTTTAGACACCTTATGTTGTACAGGAAAGGCATTTACACAGTCCATCCATTTAGGAAAGGTGCTGATCTCAATTATAGAACTATTTGGACAGTGGGGTATCGGTGGAGGTTTTGCAGAAATGACTGGCTTGTTATTGGAAAATTCCATCTTAATTACTGATCTAGTATTAGGTTTTAAGTCCCCATAAATAGAATTATTTGTCAGTCTAGGTCTAGCAATGGCTGTCTTTTCTTCGAATGATACTTTCAGACAGCCAGCATGTTTATCATGTGACCAACACAAAGGTAATTGGGCACTGTAGCCAGAATAATTAACTCTAGTCACATGATGGGGAGTAATATGAGTATCTGTAAATCCTCCCATCATGAATGAGTCATTAGTAAATACTGGAATGGATTCTCCAGTCCACACAGCTGGGGGTACCAGGGGTGGATCTGGGAAATATGTTCAATAAGTGTCTACTTGATTCCCCTTTACCTGACAGCCCAGTAGGTCAATTACTGTTGCTACCATCAAGACTGGGGTCCTGTTCTTTCCTAGGCGTCAAAGTATTCGGGAGGCCTGGGTTGTTAGCTTCTTCATGTCTTCCCACGAAATCAGCTTTTCGGCTGGTTCAATCTGGTCTTTCTTCATCTTTTTCCAATATCTCCTCCTTCTGGGTAGTGGCTCCTCCGGGTCAATCCTCAGTCACTTGAATCTGGGTTCTATCTCTTCCATGTCTGATAGCACATTCAGGCACCCAAATAGGATGGAAAGAAAGAGCCTTCTGGGAAAATACAACCATGACCTCTGCCCCACATTATCACTGAGTCCGTACCCTTCCACTGACCAGTCTGTAAATATTTCCACAAAACTCTGCCTAAAGGGCCTGTTACTGAGGGAGACATTTGTCTCTCAGCAGCAGTGTGACCTTCTGCGTCACAGTTTAAAAAATTTAAAACAAACAAGGCATGATTAAGGCTATTTTGGGGAGTGACAATCCTATTCCCCCCTTTTAATTTTTGTAATTGAAGCTTAATAGATAAATGAGCTCGTTCCACAATGGCTTGACCTTGAGGGTTATAAGGAATTCCTGTTTTATGATTAATTTTAAACTCTTGGCAAAATTGTTGAAAAGAAGAGCTTACGTAAGCTGGAGCATTGTCTGTTTTAATCTGCATAGGGCACCCTAAAACAGAAAAAGCTGCCAAGCAATGAGAAATTACATGTTGGGTATTTTCCTTAGTATGTGCTGTGGCAAAAATAAATCTAGAATAAGTGTCCACTATGAAATGCACATAACATTGTTAACCAAATTGAGGAATATGAGTTACATCCATTTGCCATATTTGATTTGGTTTTAATCCATGGGGATTTACCCCTGATGGTGGAGATGGAGTGTGAATAACATACTTAGGGCATTGGCTTACAATTTGATGAGCTTGTTCTCTGGTAATAATAAATTTTTTACGTAAGCTAGAAGCATTTTGATGATGAAAGGAATGGGAAGCTTGTGCACAGTCATATGAAGACATCTGTTTATCAGTTTTGTCATTACCTGAAGCTAAAGGTCCTGGAGGATTAGTATGAGCTCGTATGTGTCCTATGACACATACGAGCTCATACTAATTTTTGCATTAGCACTGCCTTCTGTAAATTATTAAATAATTCAAATAACTCTTGTGATTAAATATACCCAATAACTGAAGTTTCAATATTTTTGGTAACTCTGACTGCATATTAGCTGTCAGAATAAATATTAATAGGCTCATTTGAAAAGTAATTTAAGGCACAAATCAGAGCTTGAAGCTCTGCTCTTTGGGTAGAAGTATATAAAGTTTGCATTACATTACCTCTGTGTGAACACGACTATAAAAACCTGCTTTACCTGAGCTTGAACCATCAGTGAACACCGATAAAGCTTCATCTGTAGGACATGCACGCACAATCTTTGGAAAAATAAGTGACGTTAATGATGCAAATTGGATAATCTTATCACAAGGGTAATGGCTATCTATCTGTCCAGGAAAATCAGCAAAAGCTATCTGCCATAAGCTAGAAGTTTGAAAAACCCAGATCTGGCTAACAAAATCCAATCACTAGGTGGGAGAGGCTGAGAGGAAATATTATCGATTAGGTTCTGTACAAAAGGCATATTTGGACCATATGTCTCACATGCACTTTTCAATTCCTTAATGGTTTTAAATGGGATTACAGCATGAACTCTAACTCTCTGGTCTTGTTCACTAACTTGCTCAAAAACTGGGAAAAGTTGAAAACCACTAATATCTTCCCCCACTTCCTGTGCCTTCTTAATATCTCGCTGGAATAGGGTAAGAAAAGTCATTGTTAATTCAGAGTACCTGTTAATTTTTGTCCTTTCAGCAGGTAATGGCTGAATTCTAATAGCCTGGGCAGGTGGTGTGAAACGCAGCCTGTTAAAATTTCTCTGTAAGTCCTGAATTTCAACATCTGATTCTTCTCCCTCGGACTGCGACTCATGGGTAGAAACTCCGTTGTTGCCATTTTGAAATTGGGCTGCTAAGCCACATGGTGGAGAAGGACTCTGTGCCTCTCTAAGAATCTCTTCCAGATTTTCCTCCTGGGGAGGATCGTCTATCTCTTCCAGAGGACTTTCTAGGATTGGGGAGGTTTCTCCTCTATGACCTTCTTCTCTATAATCTCCTTGCTGGCTAGCCTGATCATGCAAGTTTAAAGTCACATTCCTAACTTTCAGTTTAGCCCCTAGAGCCTTTGTTTTTAAACAGCTCAAGGGAAAGGAAATTAACTTAACCTCAGGCAGATTTTCCATTTGAATAGACCTAATAGCTCTCTGAATGCCTTTCAATAGATCTTCAGGGGACCATAAACTCTGTCCCATATATTCAAAAAGACAAATTTCCAGAGCCATCCAAGTTTTCTGAATATTTTCTATGCCTCCAGGTAATTCATTAGAAAGAAAAACTTTTTGTAATTTCCTCCCTAGTTTTTCCCAAGTAAGTAAATTTGGGGATTCTTGTTCACAAAACCAAGGGCAATATTCGCCTACAATCTTTAACAATTGTAATAACTGAGTTTTCTTTATCTGTTTTCCTTTCTGATTAATTATGGTGTCTAGAATAGTCAGATACATCTCCTTATCCATAGAAGTTGAATTTCCCATTTGAATTAATTTAACGTCTCGTTCCTTCAGTATCTCCAGATACTTTGGTGACCCAAAATTGTAACCAATTCCTTTATCTTTACAGCACGCTCCCACTCAATCTAGCTAATCATTCTAGCCCCCTCATTAGGCGCCAAATTTCACCATGCGACCAGTGCACTGATTTCATTAATGAGGTTCTTGGCATAAAAGTTAACTAGTGAGATCAAAATAAAACACACAGACTCAATTACCTTTTCTATGACCAGGTCCAAGATGGCTCTCACCTCTCTGGCTCACACCTCAAACCACCCAGTAGGGCAGCAAGGCTTACTCAGGGCTAGCAGGAGAGAGAGAGAGAGAGCATGAAAGGGAGTGGCCTTTTATTGGGGAACAAGAAATTCAGGGGAAAATTCTGTTGGGGTGCAGCGGAGCGTCGGAGGGGAGAAACCACACAAGAGACTCACTTCATGCAATCGCAGGGGGGAAGTTTATTGAGGATCCTGTTCCAGCGCGCTGGGACTCTGTGCCCACTCAAGAAGGGAGAGCGGCTCAGAGCCCAGAGCGGAGGTCAGGTGGAGCTTAAGTACACTTTTTGGAGAGGGTGGGGAGCTTTGCATACATCAGAACAAATCATCATGAGGCGCGGGAAAATTGAACAACAATTCTAAAACATGATTAGTACATACATTGGCGGGAACAATCAGGGCAGAGGTGACTGGTCATGTCTAAGCAGGGTACACATTTAAACTGATTGGTTCTGGGGCCTAGATGCTTACGTGCCTTGCTACCTAGAGCTCTTAGCTATTAAACAACCAGGGAATCAATGGAGATATTTACTGGGCAGTTCCAGCATTGTCCTAACAACTTTACAGAGATTATAGGTTCCGGGGATAGCAGAGGAATTGTAACAATAGACTTTTATAATTGTAACAATTGTCTTTTACTTTTTAGCCCAGGCTTTGTAACCTAGAAGCTTTACAATGCTTTACAAAGCTTTGTAACCTAGAAGCTTTACAATGTCTCTTACACTTTAACTCAAGCTCTTGCAGCTTGGAATCAGCTTAGAATTTTTACCTTTACAATTCCACCCAATGAAGGTTGAGGGGGGGCAGCATTCCAAGGTCAGGGTCAGTGATTGGCCTCAGGGTCAGTGGTCAGTCACACTCCCACACAGATAGGCTCTCACACCAGGAGAGGGTGGGGAAAGCTCTGACACAGTTTAGCCAGAGTGCCTCACACCCAATCTGAGAGGTGCCCAATCATGTGCGAGAATGGCTTCCCACAGCGCAACCTTAAAATCACATTACTATAAATGGAATCACCATGAACTACTGATTCTTTGATGATTTTAATCTGACACCAGGTAGATGCTGGAAGTCTATTTTGTCTACAGCAGTGCTACTCAAATGGGTGCTAGGTGCACTAGCACTGGACTCTAAATGTTTGTTATCAACCTAAAACAAGACACATACTGAAATTGAAAGTGAGCAAGGACACGTCTACCACACCTTGTCCCAGACTGACATCAGGCAAACAAAAGATGCATATTTACATGAAGCCCATGTCTGCTGAGAGCAGTTTCATCATCAGCTGTTGGTATGGCAGTTTGAAACCTCCGCTCAACATCTCCACTGAGTGTCTGCAAAGTCCTGTCCTCACATAAGCCCCTGAAAATCTTCCCTTCTTCATTGAAGCAACTTGTCTTTCTGATTACAGTCACAAATTCTTGGCATTCTCCTTACTTCCTCTTTCTCATACTCCAGTTAAGTTCCTTAGGAAGTGCTGTAAAGTCCCACTTCAAAATGTGTGTAGCATCCAAACACTTCCACTATTTCCGCTGCTCATACACCAGGTGAAGTGACCAACATTTCCAGCATAGGACGGTTTCCCTGTACCATTGGTCTGCATGTCTACTCTGGTGACAATACCATGCTGTTTTTGTTTCTTAGCTGATTTTAGGGGAAGGGGCAACCCTAAATTCACATTACTATAAATGGAATCACGATGAACTACTGATTCCTTCCTGCTTTTAATCTGACACCAGGACAGATGCTGGAACACTCCCTGCTGCCTTGGGAGTCCTCCCATCTCAATTGTATTCTCAGATCAGCCATTAGCATGACGCTTTGAAAAGATGCACCATGTCAGTCTTTGCTCAAAACTGCTTCATTCAATGCAGGATTCCTTTTGTTAACCTCCAGATCTTCAGTGACTGGCTGTGCCTCTGAGCTCCTCTCTGACTCTGCTCAGGACATCCCAGATCCTTGCTCTCCCCAGAAAACACACAGGATCCTGCCCTGGTGCATTTGCACTGCGGCTTCCTCCTGCATAGAAAGATCTTCCTCAAAACATCCTGACAAATTCCTTCATGTAATTCAAATCTATCCCCAAAGGTCACCTTGCTACAAAGTCCCATGCTGAGCACCCCCAGAAAGCAGTCATCTTCCCTGTCCCCACACACCCACTCTGACACCTGACCTGCAACACTTTCCATGAACACCGTCCTCATTTACTGTGTTTAGAGTGTGTCTACTTCCTCTTTCCTATAGAACACATGCTCCACAAGGGGGGCACTTTTGGTTTGTTTTCAGTTCCCTGATGTATGCTTGGTGCAAACTGTGTGTCATCTCTTCAGTACTCAACAAATAAGAGCTGAATGAAAAAAAAAAAAAGAGCTGAATGAATGCTTAGTGTAGCCCCTCCCTCTTCTAGGAACTCTGTCTTTATTAATGGAGCCTCAGACCAAATGCTGCCGGGCATCTGTAGAGCAAGGTCTTCTCAGTCTGAGGTCAAAGCCATCTGGGCTTTTCTCACAAGTTCTGCTCTCCCTCCCTCCACACCAGCCCTCCTACATTCCACCCAAGTACATTTTGATCTTCAAGAAAGATGATCCTTGACTAATGGGTCATATTTTCCAGCTAAACATAAATCTCTATTAGACTCTGTTTTATTGACCAAGGAATCTGTAATGGAGCAAGTTCTAGGATTAGTATTGTTAAGGACAGGGGAACTGCAAATAGAGAAGATAGAAGCCTAAGAGAAATTTAGCTAGCATGAGAAATCATGAGCTTCTTCCTCTCTGCTATTCCCATAATCTGGGTCCTTTAAAAATATTGGAGGAATGATGGAAAATACAATCCAAGAAACTGCTCTGGGATTTTGGGGACAATGACAGAAAAAAAAAGAGTTCTGCTTCTATCAATGATGAGAGACACCCAGAGGAGAAAGAGCCCAGACATCATATTTAGTAATAAGAACATGGATAATTCTCTATAGAAGCTGAGAAACAAAAAAAGATGGTAGCAGAAGGTCAGACTCAGGTCTCATCCTATACTGACCCCACAACATGGTGCCCTCCCTGCCCATGATCCTGGAGACAGGATGAGCCCTGGTGATGCTTGAGTCCCTGGCATCACAGGTCCTGGTGGGATGAGGTTCAAGTGGAGGGACAAGACTAAGGAGCAGGAAGATGATCCAGCTGAGGAGTGACCATATCAGAGACCAGGATGCACTGAGCAGAGATTGGGTGTCACCTTGTCCACCCTCATCTGCTTTCAGTCTTCTCCTGTCCCCACCTACAGCAGACTCAGCACAGCAACCATGGATTCTAGGAGATTTCAGGCTTTATTTTCTCTTTGAAATTTAGGAATCTTCATTTAATTAACCCATCAACTGTTACAGTTAAAGCAACATCCTGGGGTTTCATAAATTGGCTTCCAGACCACTCAGGTATAATCGAATCAAGCCTTTATTGAAGCACACCGGTGGTGACTGACCAGAACATAAAGTATTCCCCTGATCAGCCCCCAAAAATTGCAAGGGCACTCCTTATAAGCCTGAAAGCTGCAAAAGAGATATTTTGGGGTCTAGCCAATGCAAGCAAGCCAGGTTACAGAAATGAGAGAGTGCAGTCAGGCGGCAGGTAGCTTAACCAATCACAATTAGGCCAGTCACTCCAATTACAGAAATATAGACCTGTTATGCTAGTTATAGAAACAATGCCCCACTAGGTAGTTCCATGTTTTTAAGGATTTCTATAGCAAAAAGAAAAGAACAACTTGCCCCAGTCATGCCCTTTCTATTTGGAAGGTTGTTTTACAAAATGGAGTTACTAAACAAAATGGAATCACTTTGGCTTGGCTATCACACAACCATATTTTGTGGCATAAATTTGAAATACAAATCAATATCCAGATTCTGCTTTTCAGTAGAGAAGGAAGAAGCTACAGTCCAGGGCAACATGAAGCTACATCAAAAATGGAGACATCCCAGCCCCACATCTGCTACATAGGAAAGTTGACTGAGGAAGAGAACAGGACAGTGTAGGGAGGGATCTTGGTGGTCAGGGATGTGCTCTTCTCTGCATTTCCTCAGTGATGATTGATGATAGGAACACAGACACATAGACACAGTTAGATGCAAGCTACAAAGAGAAGTTAGAATCTCTTGAAATCTCAGTAGGGAGCAGGAACGAACTAAAGAAATCCTGTACTGCTCAGTTCCACAGAAGGCAGCTGTCTCACACTGTAAAAGAAAGTACCATGAACAAATTCAGATCACTCATTGTAATGGAGACCTTCTGAACAACCCATTAAACACTCAAAATGTCAAAAATCCCTGAGAGAGTCCCTGTAACCCAGGAATTTCTCCATTCCCCAACCCCTCTCCCTCTTCAGGCCCTCTAGGGTCTCACCTTTCTCAGCAGTGAGAGACACATCAGAGCCCTGGGCACTGTCATTACCTGAGCAGGAAAAACAAAACACAAAAAAAACAAAAAAAACGAACCTGGTCAGAGCCCACAGGAGATGTGGGTAATGGAGGAATTATGGATGGATCTGCTCCCCCATGGCTCCCCACTAGACTATTCTTAGGGTCTCAAGGATCCATACTTACAGACAGCTGGAGTATAGTGCCCTTTCTTTACACCTGAGGGAAGAAAGCATCCTGTGAGAGAACAGTTTGGAGATAGGTCTTAGAGGTGCCCCCTAGTGCTGGACACTGGAACAGTCTCCAGAACTGTGGCTGCAGCCATAGGGAAGCATCAGAAGACAGGAAGAAAGTAGATATGTAGGGATGGAGCCAATTGCTCTCCTGGAGGTCTGTCCTCAGCAGGAAGATTCCCCTCTGGCCTCTAAATGCTGGGAATCAGGTCCCATCACCATAAAAATCAAGAGGGTGCATTGTCCTTTAGATTCCATGCACAAAATGTAAACAGGGTCCAGGTTGGGTAAGGACACTTGTAGATTTTACTTCCCATTAACAGGGCAGGGCACACTTCTACCAGGTACTTGAAACCATCAGTGGGACAAAAATTCAGACTCTGCACTTTCCCTACCTGTGTTTTTCTTCTTCCCCATGACAAAATAGACCACAGCTCCAGTGACAACAAGGACAATCACAGCAGCAACAATTCCCATGATGGTGATGGTGGACTGAGGGGGTGGCTCTGGGAGAGAAAGGAAAGTCAGAAAGAAAGGGCCCTGATCCCCAGCTCTCAGTCCCTACCCTGCTGAGGGTCTCCAGAAAGCCTCCTGCTTGCTTCTTGACAACAGGCTCCGAGCTCTCACCCCCTCCTTACCCCATCTCAGGGTGAGTGGCTCAGGCAGCCCCTCATGGTGCACATGGCAGGTGTATCTCTGCTCCTCTCCAGCAGGCACCACCACAGCTGCCCATTTCTGGAAGTTTCTATCCCCTGCAGGCCTGGTCTCCACAAGTTCCATGTCCTGGGTCTGGTCCTCCCCATCTCGTTGCCAGTTCAGGGTGATCTCCTTAGGGTAGAAGCCCAGTGCCCAGCACCTCAGAGTGACATCTCCTTTAGGCCTAGGGTGGTGAGTCACATGCATCTTTGGGGGGTCTGAGGGAAAGAACATGGAAATTCAGACATTTTGGCTTTTCCTCATGGACCACTGAAGCAACGCTCACATGACCATCCTGAGAGTGGACAACGTGACTGGGGGTGGGGAGAGAGCACAAAATCTAGACACATGCAGGAACTTGATTTATTGGCATAATCTATTCCTTGGAAAGTTCTAGATCAGATTGAGATAACCCAATGGAGGAGGCTTCAGGTCCCTAAGATGGACTTCAGATTCTGATTTGGGTAGAGGCTGAGACTTGTGGAAAAGCTGGAGTCAGGTCTCCCAGGACACTAGGCTGGAGTGGACCTGACAGTCTGTCCCTGATGCCAAGGCTGCTGACAGGGACCTGTGGTCAGGTATTTACTGTCATTCCCAGTAGCCAGGGAGAGAGAGATGGGATCCCTCACTTGTCCTGAGAGACAGAGGCCTCAGTTCCTCTCTAGGGCAGCCCCTGGGGGTCCAGGCCTACTCCCATCGCGCCTGGACAAGGAGCAGGAGGTGTCCTAGTGTGGGCGCCATTCTCCTCCATCCTGTGGGGAGCTGGAGGAGAGACCTCCAGGGGGTCAGGCAGGTGTCCTGCAGTCCCTCACACCTGTGCGCCTCAGCGACTCCTTCCCGTTCTCCAGGTATCTGAGGAGCCACTCCACACAGCGAACCTCCAGGTAGGCCCTCTCTTGCTCAGCGACACCGGCCGCCTCCCACTTCCGCCGGGTGATCTGAGCCGCCGTGTCGGCCGCGGTCCAGGAGCGCAGGTCCTCGTTCAGGGCGATGTAGTCCCCGCCGTCGTAGGCTATCTGAACATACCCGCGGAGCAGGCGCCCGTCGGTCCCCACGTCGCAGCCATACATGTGCTGGACGGTGTGAGAGCCTGTCCCCGCCCCGTCAGCCGCGGCCCCGCCCGCCC